ATCTAAGGTTAAATCCTTTGGATAAATGTTTTCATCAATAAATTAAAGACAATACGATACCATCATTAAAATTTCATCCCCGATAAATTAATCATATGACACAATAACAAAAAGATTGATAGTTAATATTCTTCCTAAAATATTACTAATTAAATGATGCCATAAAATTTTAATGTTTTCAATCAAATAGAGCCCCGGTGTCAACGCGTCATCACTTTTCTCTAAATTAAACCCCAAAAGCATATTATCTCACTTAATAATATAGCTCATGGATACCCCCCCCCAACCCTAAGAATCTCACAACATGCTTCCCCTTTTTAACCATTTGACTGCATTCTAACTAGAGTTCTTGTAAAAATCTAAAGCAGCTTATCTTACCTACTAAACTTGAAGACCAACTGCTGCAACTCAACATGACTGCAGCTCCTAGGTCTTTGGTTTAATTTCTTCAATTAGCTCCCTAGTGCCTCCTTTTCACCTTAAGTATGTTTAACCCATTATTTATTAAAAAAATATTTCATCACCGGTTATTACTAATAATATATATGTATATATATATAACTAAAAAAATAATTAAAATCTCAATAATTTTGCTGGTCATCAACCCTCTATAATCCCACGTACTCTGTTTGTCCTATAAAATATATCCACTATTGATTTTTTTTGTTACTTTTTTAAACTTTGAATAATTATTAGGGTAAAGTATAGTAATGGTCACTGAACTTTTCAAAAGCTTGCATTTAGGTCCCTCAACTTTTAAAAGTTACAATACAATCCTCCAATATTTAGTTCGTTTGCAATATGATCTCCAACCGTTTGACGCCGTTAGTCCATTTGCAATATGGTCACTGAACTTTTCAGGCGCTTGCATTTAGGTCCCTCAACTTTTAAAACTTGCAACACATTCCTCAATTTCATTTTAAATCCCAAATTCCAAAATAATTCAATTACATTTTAAACCCCAAATTCTAAAAGTTTTGATTAAGAAGAAAGAAATAAAATTAGATGATTTTGGTTTAAAACTAACATTGAATATTCAGATCCTTGACATGTAGTTCCATAAACATAAAAATTACTATACTTTACCCTTATTTTAATTAGTAATTAATATACTTAATAATATATTATTCTTATTTTAATAAATAATTAATATAATAATAATTTTATTTTAATAAAATCATGGATCTGGATATTCAGTGTTAGTTTTGAACCAAAACCATCTAATTTTATTTCTTTCTTCTTAATCAGAACTTTTAGTACTCCTTATAAAAGATATTCAATCCATCAGAATAGAAGTGAAAGACGGTCCTAGGCTAATTTTTTTTATCTTCTTGTTTCGTTTTTCTTTAAATTAAGGAATTGGTTGTGAGTATCGACATAGTGAAATCGTCAGGCTCAATCCGAGAGACTGTTGGTACTAGTTTACTGGAATTGTATTGATCTGACATATGGTTTTCGACGTCCTGTAAGCTCGTATTTTTTTTAATAAGTCCATGTTGATTATGAGACAGATATATCATGAATAAATTATTTTTTTTACATGTTTTATAAATTTTACAATTGAATATGTATTGAATTATAGCTTTAGAAGATAATTATGTATACATACAACTCGAAATGCATCATGACAAGATAATATATTTGGAACAACTACTTGATATGTTGTCCGGTCATTGCACATTTGCATCTTCATTTTTTGGAATATATATGTTTGTTGCAGTGTCTTCTATGTTTTACAGTGTCTTTTATTGTTGAGATGTCATGAATTTATAAAAATTATAGTCTTATGATTTTAGTTTCACTATCTGCTTTAGATCCGTCTTGAAATCCTGAGCGATTTCTCGCACCAGCCTTTGGAATGGGAGCTTCCTTATCAGGAGCTCCGTGCTCTTTTGGTATTTTCGGATCTCACGCAATGCCACGGTTCCTGGCCTGAACCTGTGTGGCTTTTTAACTCCGCCGGTGGCCGGAGCCGATTTCCGAGCGGCTTTTGTGGCTAGTTGCTTCCTCGGCGCCGTGCCTCCGGTGGATTTCCTAGCGGTCTGCTTCGTACGAGCCATATGGAAAGCGATAACCGAAACTACGCCTTGATAATTTCTTGTTTGTAGCTTCAAGAAATGAGATAAAACTTTGGACAGCTGGAGGGTTTGGGTTATTTTATACATAAATTTGAATTTTGAAGTGGAGGGACGAACTTTCATCTTTTAGCCCTTTTTTAATCGTACGGTGTATGTATCGTGTGACGGGATCATGATCCGCGTAAAATACAAGTAACCAATAGAATTTATTCTTTTAGGCGCTTAAAGCTAATCCTTTGTTATTATGATAAAAAAGAGTAAGGGTGAATACCTAGTCGATCATCTAATTGTAAACTAATTTCATTTTAGTCACTAAGAAAAATCATTACAATTTTATCACTATTGTTAGAAAACATTAATTATTTTATTCACCTAATCGTTAAATTCGCTGTGTTATTTACATTGTCTTCAATCAAATGGAAGGTGTCTAACACAAATATCTTAATTTTAACTGATTTTAGTTTTATATAAAAGTATATACCAAAATCTAGCAAAACTCAACTCGAAAAATTGATTTTTTCGACTCAATTCGATTCAAAACTACTTTGAGTTATAATTTTATAAACTCGACTCGAAAAAGTTTCAAGTTCAATTTAAATTGTAAAATATCACTCGAATAACTCAAAAATTTTAGTATAGTGGATGAATTTTTAAGTTCGAGTTGAGTCTCTTAATCATGTATGATATATGTATATCACAAAGAAATATATATGTATTGTATTTTTTTATCAAAAATCACATAGGAATAAATTGTTATATATATATATATATGTACTGTATATGATCATAAAAAATCATTTAAATTGAAATCAAATAATATTATAAATATTGATAATTAAATTTAAACACAAACTCGAAAATTTGATTCGAGTCGACTCGACTCAAAAAAAATCAAGTCAACTTCGAGTTGTAAAGTAAGACTTGTCAACTCGAATAACTCGAAATTTTTTTACTCGACTCGATCGAACGCTCAACCCTACCAAAATCTATTAATTAATAATTTTAATTAGAATGATAAATGATTTGTATTTAACTTTATTAATTTTATTTTTAATCCTTAAGTGGGTCAGGTTCATCCGAGCCAAATATAAATGTATAGATATTGTTCCTTCTCAACTTCGGACCGGAAGTGCTTCGAGACTTTGGAAAGGCTTAAGAGTGGTATGGAATGATGTTCGGAATAATATCTGCTGGACCGTTGGTATTGGGGAAAACGTTGATTTCTGGATGGACGATTGGGTGCCGTCAATCGGTCCTCTTGCCGCTTATCTTTCTCCCTCTCAAATGTTGCTTCTTCCTAAAGATTGTGTGGCGGACATGGTTGACTCGGATGGTAATTGGTGTTGGAATCTTTTCGAACATTTGCTGCCTATGAATATTATTTTGCGTGTTGCTGCTCTTAAAGGACCGAAGGCCTCCCTTAAAGAGGATTGTATCGGTTGGTCAGGTTGTGAGAATAAACGTTTCAGTATCAAATCAGCGTACATGGTTCGGGGTGGAGTTTCGGAAAGCTCAGGTAAACTGATTTGGAAGCGAATCCAACGCTATCGTGGCATACAAAGAATTAAGATCTTTTTGTGGATTACTTGGCAAGGTAAATTAATGACCAACGACGAAAGAGTGCGTAGACAGTTCGCAACAGACATACGACGTTCAATTTGTTCTGCAGCGTTAGAGGATGTTAATCATGTTCTGCGTTTTTGTATTCCCGCTATTACGATTTGGACCGAGCTTATTAAGGAAATTAAACTGCAGAAATTTTTAAACATGGAGCTCGGGATTGGATTGGTGCTAATATTACGTCAGGGGCAGATTATGCGAAGAATCCTATGGATTGGGATCTCTTTTTTGGAGCCTTATTATGGAATCATTAGCGAGGTCGAAATGCCGTAATCTTTGAGAATGAAGATGCAGGAAGGATCAGTTCTGGAGCGCAGCAAATATCTCCTAAGGACCTTAGCTCCATGCAAAACGCTTTGAACAATAGTAATAAATTTATAAATCAAGGGGACGGTAAAGCTGCTGGCTCGATTCATTGGTTTCCTCCAGGTGAAGGTTGGTTCGAATTGAATACCGACGGTGCCATTAACACGGTTCATGGTAAGGCTTCTTGTGGTGGGGTCATTTGCGATATTGACGACCAATGGCGGTTGGGTTTTACCAAGTTTATTGGGTTGTGCTCGGTGCTAGAAGTGGAGATCTGAGGTATCTATGTTGGTATGTTCTTAGCTTGGGACTTGGGTGTCCGTTGGGTGGTGGTTGAAGCGAATAGCTTGCAGGCTATTCGGATGGTGAAGGGTTCCAAGGAGTTTCATAGGGGTCAACGTTAACGATATTATCGTTCATCCAAGAATTGATGACGGATCAGTGGGAGGTGCAATTCTCCCATATAAAACGCTCGGGCAATGCCGTGGCAGACCAGCTTGCAAAGAATGCGATTATGGATAGCCTTGATGTCACCGTGTACACTCAACCTCCTCATGAACATGACTTGCTCATTGTTGATGCTACTGGTACTGTAAATATTGGTAGTGTGTAGAAGCTTATTGGCAGCTCCTTTTTAGCTTTTCCTTTAGGTTGGAAGTCAAGATCGTTATTGGTTTTCTCTCTCCTTGCCGTGGGTTGTACGCTGTTATGAATTTCTTACTTGAGTTTTTGTAATCCTTCCAAAGGTACTTTTTCCCCAAACTAGGATTAGGGGTTTTAATAAGGCTTTTGGTAGTATCCAATCTTTTACCTAAAAAAATAATTTTTAATTTATTTTATAAAAGTAAGAATGAAAAAAACCATTAAAATAAGCGTATTATAACAACTCGATCAGACAAGTAGATAGTTAATATATTGATCTGGATACAGCTGAAAGTAGTGAAGATTATTTTAATTAGCTATAACACAGAGCCACTCGTAACTGAAATTAGAAACCACAAATCTGTAATGTCACAAGGGAAGGATGGAGCCTTGGGTTCTATTTGGTTTGGATAACAAGAAAATTCCCCCAGATGAGAAAAATCTTTTCATTGAAACAGCCCCCTTGGATAAACATCCCCCGCTCGGACAACTTCTCATCACTTTGCATCTGCTTGAATGTATCTTTCCCTTTGAATACTCTAACTGCTCTAATTCAGTGTCTAAACTACTACCATGTTTATGCTTAGCAGCTGTTAAATCAAACGAAACCGACCTCCTCGTTGCTTGAATTCCATCTAAATCGCTCAATACATTTCCATCAGAATGACCCAGATTTTTTCTACAATTTTCCGAGGTGTTTCCATCTTCAATCCCACAGGTTCGACCTTCTCCGACATCAGTTTCGACCATGATTTTGTTGCTTGACCCTGAACTGATGAAACTCGGTTCCGATGCACTGGTTTGAGCTACCATGGTATCGGAAACAACGGGAGCACGACACAATGGGCAGTTTTGGTGCGACCTTAACCAAGTATCAATATAAGCAAGGTGAAAACCATGGCTACACTTTGGCAAAAGCCTTGGGCTTTCATCTTCTTGGAACTCATTCAAGCAAACGGAACATTCGCTTCCTTCAATCAATCGTTCATCTTTTTTATACTTGAAAACCATGATCGAATCGATCACCGATTGTTGCAGACCGACCGTGTTGATGTACCATTGGGGTTATCTAAATGAGGCGTGATTTGACCTTCACAGAGGGAAAAATCATCTCCAAGGGAAAACCTCTTCTCCTCGAATGATTAATCCTCTAGTTAAAATAGAATCTAACAAGTGCATAGAAAATACATAGAATAAGAGCCGAACATAGCATGCTTCCCATCATTGTCATGCCGGTAACCAACAAGCTGTGATCATCATGGTTCTGTCTAGGAGGTGGTACCTGCAATGGTGGTTGTGGTGGCCGAATCCATGGCGATGGCATACAGTTTCTTATACAGCCATCACGGTCCGGACACTTACACGGTCTCGATTTTGGCCGGCCGTTATCTAACATTGTGAAAAACAGACAAGTAAACACAGGGAAAACCAAAGATTAAAGTGGAATTTGATGGGATCGGACACTTGTTCTACTTGAATGGTGTAAGCTTGAAGTTTGGGTTATGTTATTTACCACAAATTTCATGTGAAGTCATGAGATTGGAGACATTTCTTTTTCCATGAACGACTAATTTTGCGTATAAGCATTTACTGGGAAGTTCCCTTTTTCTTCCGTGTCCGTAGACTCCTTTGTAGTCAAGCACGCGTAAATTTTAATGTAGTGAAGGGTTCAAACATGCCCCGTCCCATCAAATTTTAGTGTCTTGATTGCTACATTTGCCTTCTTTCAAACCCTACTTTCAAGATTTTTGTGCCAATTTCACTGTCTTAAAATATACGTAATAGTTTTATAATTGTTTATGTGAACAAAATAACTATATCAGTCGTTGGTGAATCATTTTTTTATTTGGATAATTGTATGAAAGATAAGCAGAGACTAAAATTCGATCTATTTTCTCTTGGTGTACATAAATATAATTGTAGTGATTTTTATCTATACGCTGACAAGATTAATAACTATAACCATTAACTAATATATTTAAATCTTATATATCTTTTTTATTTTGTTAATAATCTTATTTAGACGACGACAACAACAAAACCCTATTCCCATATGCAATGGGGTAAGGGGGAGGTAGAGTAGTAGACTGTCACCAACGCCAGGTTGAGAGCAGCTTCCGCGGAAGACCTCTGACAGTCAAAAAATTAAAAATAAAGATAAAATGCAATGTATGTATAAATAAATAAATAAATAAATACACATTTAAACAGTCTTCATATGCAGTCTTCATATGCGCGTTTGTAATGGGAAGTAATCCCTGCAAATAAATCCATGCGTAAAAATCTCTGCATATAGACAGAAACGTAAGACCCGACTAAATTTAAAAAGATGAAACATGAAGAGAAGAATATACAGAAGTCAACGATAGCAAGCTACGAGAATGAATAAAGTCAAATGGGTTAAACCTAAACTAAGTCAACACTACTTTGCTACCCTAATTCTAAACCTTCGTAAATTCCAATGACAAAAACTTATAAAAAATAGAAATCATGAAAATTATTACAAATATATTAAAAGAAGACAGAAATAATACATACACTGATGTGAACTCAGAGTCTGGAACTCTTTCAATCATTCTTGGCAAACATATTCCAAAATTCCAAACATAGTCAGATTTTCAAATGTGCTAAAAAAGAAGAGCTGCTTGCTCATGAGCCAAACTCTATGGTACTTTTCTGCTTTATTTTCTAGCATTTTTAATTTAGGAGACAAAGGGAAAAGAGACCGAAGAAAAAAATGTGTACCTTTTTGAGGGAAACGAAGACTTTAACAAAGATTCTGATTTCCCATGCCTTCTCAACCATCCATAAATTACAAAACAGACAAAAGCTGCCCACCGATAAGGAGTCTAATCTCTGAAAGCGCCAAATTTTAATAACACAAAAGAAATATATAAATATTAATTATGTTTTGTCTAATACAAATTATTAATATATTAATTAAGATTCATTTATACAATCTAAACCTTTTTTTTAGTTTTCCATATATATGAGATAGTTAGATAAATATAAATTGGAGATCGAGATTAATTCTTTATTTTTTTTTTCAAATATCTTTTTATTTTCTATAGTTATTTTTAATCGTCTATTTTCACTCCAACTATTATAAAACTATTTAAAATTAGAAAAAGTTACAATGTGTAATTCAATTTTATCTCTAAAATTAATGTAAATGTAAAATATTTAATTTTATTCTTTTTTGAGTAAAAATATAAATATTTTAAATTTAATTTGAATATGAATGCAATATTTATTTTATTCTTCATGTTAGATTTTTGTGCACAGTGATCCATATATAGTATTTAAAGAAGAGTATAATTCATGTTATTTAAGATTATAAGTTGTAATCTTGATTACAATATAAGATTATAAGTTATAACCTTGATTTGCTTTCTTTTCTATATGCTTTGGTCTCTTTTTTTCTTTCATCAGCAAGCGACAACACTAGTCTTGATGTTGGTAGTTGTCGTTAATATTTTCTTTTTATTTCATATATTTGTTTTTTAAAGAATAACTATGTCCTTATGACACGGATTTCTATGCTATCATAACACGCTTTTCTATGCTTTCATAACACATTTTTTCTCAATTTTTTGGCACGTTTTTTCCTTACTGGGTTGGATTTGATATTGCTACGATTGATCAATATGCCATTCATTTATTATCTCGTTGATCTTCCTTGCTTTGGACCATCGAATTGGATTTGGATACGTAACTTACGATCGCAGATAATTATCTCGTAATGCTTGGCTTTGATTTGTGTTTTGTTGGTGGTGTTTCAGTAGTTTAAATCCCATAATGTGGTTGGTGTACCTTAACAGTCAGATTTGTTTGTATCTACCCATTGTTCGAGTTTTTCTAGATGAGATTTTCATCTTTTCCTTGTATGGTCCTGATATGATATTGAGTAACTAGTTTATTAATGATTTTAGAAGAATTTCTCAATTATGTATCTAATTTACGATTTTTATCGTAAATTTTATTGTAATTTTGAATTTTTCTTATTTATTAATAAAATTAGCTGCTTTTATTTAGAAAAACAAATATTTAATACAATAATTAATATATATATATAAATACCTCAAATGTATAAATAAATTTAAATAATTTTATGCTTGGGGCTAAAATTATAATTTATAAAATTTTCAGACGCTTTTCAAACATCATGGGAATGGGAATGTTGTTATGATGGCAGTGCTAATAGTATTTTAATGTTGGAGTGATTAGACGGCAGTTATGATAGATATTTATGAGCTTTCAAGTTTCAATAGAGGTTCAACAGACCCGACCCGGTAGATATTATTAATATTAGAGAAAATCGTTTGACCAAAAATGTCTTATAATATACTATTTTAATCAACATTTTTTGGATTTACCAAAATGACCAACAAAATCGCAATGCGAAATAAAAATCGCAACGCGATCTCCAGAATCGCAAATCAGTTCCCACAATCGCAACGCAATTATGAAGAATCGCAATGCGATAGTACACATTCGCGTTGCGATTTTCATATTCGCGTTCGAATATGAAAATCGCAACGCGAACATATAAATCGCAACGCGATTCTGACTATCGCAACGAGTATCCGTAAAATCGCAACGCGTATCCGTAAATCGTAACGAGAATACGTAAAAACGCAACGCGTATCCGTAAATCGCAACGAGAATAAGTAAATCGCAACGCGTATCTGTAAATCACAACGAGAATACGTAAATCGCAATGCGTATCCGTAAATCGCAATGCGAATACGTAAATCGCAACGAGATTCTGACTATCGCAATACTGAATTTCAAATTCGCAACTCGATTTCTGAATTCGCAACAGGTTTTAATTTCGCAAAACAAAATGTTTTGGGTATATAACTACGCAGCAGCAGCAACTCATTCCATCTCCATCTATCACTCTCTCCGGCGACAACCGTTCCTATATCCAACGACATCATTTCCTATCCGGCAACAGGTTTTAGTTTCGCAGCTCGTTTGTTTAGTAAATTAATTTACAATAATGAAATCATCTAATGTTGATCATGTTTGGATAGATTTGTGTTTTGGAGGGTCATGGGAGAATGTTCATGGTGTTTTACAATATATGCCTTTACCCATGAATCTTCAACTAAAATTGTCATTAAAAAAGTTAACTTATGAAACTCTAATGTTACGTGTTGCAAATAAATTGAATTTAGAGCCCCTAAGTAGATTTAGGCTATCTTATAAGAGAAATGGTAAAGTTTATTTGTTAACAGACAATGAAGATGTTGAACGATTCATTGCTTACATTAGTGTTTCAAGTGATAATGTTACATTGTATGTTGTTAAACCTAGAAGTAGTGAAGTTGGGTCAGTAGCGGGTAGTAATCAACTAAGTTTTTCAACCCCAGTTTATGGTGCTCAAAATTTAATGGTTCCACCACAATTTCATCACCAAGCAAATATTGTTTCACCACATTTCTAATACCAAACACAATCTCAAAACCCACAACCTTTCCCTAATCCAAATCCCAATCAACTTTCAGCACCAAATTCCGGTTTTCGTATTGACCAGTTAGACGATGATGAGCCAACAGAAAAAATTGTGAGTACTAGTCAGTATTCGAAATTTGATCTTGGTCAATACCCGGACTTTGATCTTGGTCAATACTCGGATTTTGATGATTTTTCAGAAGAAGAAACAGACCCTGCGTGTAATGATTTTGATATTGGTCAATACCCAAATTTTGATGATGAAACAGTTGTTGCCGAGGAAGATGTTGTTGATGATAATTAAGAGGAAGTTACGACTGTAAATGAACATGTTGAACATTCATTCTGTAATTCATATAACACTGAAGAAGAAAAAGAAGAAGAAGAAATCCCCAAAGAAAATGCCACGGGAGTATAACTGGAATATGCCAGAATTACTTCAGATACCGGAAGAAGAGTTGGTAAAGATAGCAGTTGATTGTTACACAAAAATTATTCGTATCAAGAAAGATGATTGTTTTGATACAAAGGAAGACTTGAAGATAGCTTTGTATACGAAATGTGTGGAAGATGGCTATCAACTAAAAGTTAACAAATCAAGCAAAGATCGTTTCGAAACAAGGTGTATGATTTACAAAAACTGTATGTGGCGTATGATTGCAAAGAGGATAAAAGATTGCGAAATGTTTCAAGTTAGGACTTTTATTGATAAACATACATGTTCAAGAACCCAAGTTTTTCCTCACCATAGACAGGCAAACAAAAAGGTGTTGGGTGGTTTTCTGGCTGAGTTAATGTTTTTGAATGGTAGGGTATATCGGGGACATGAAATTATGACTGACATGAATGCTCGGTTCAAGATTAGTATCTCATATTCTCAAGCTTGGAGAGCCAAATGTTATGCCTTGGAATTGTTGAGGGGGTCGCCAGAAGCAT